CTCTGGTTCCTAAATGCTTCCTCCCCGCCCCCACTATCATGATCCGAATTCTACCTTGCAAGTGTGGCTAGACCACAGGATGTACACTGGTATAGATACGAACTGGAAATACAGGGAGTCCAGGGCGGATGATCCCTACAGGACCAGTGGTGAGAGTGGTGATGAAGGGATGGTAGAGGGAGAGTGGGTTGGAAAGAGGGAACCGATGACAAGGATCTACATGGGACCTCCTCCCTGGGGACGGACAACAGAAACATGGGTGAAATGAAGACTGCACTCTATAGGTGATCCGTTCCCTTCAAGATTACAGCCTGGAGACCCTATGGGGCAGTTCTGCTCTGTCACATAGGGTCACAGTGAATCAAAACTTGATTTGATGGCGCCTGGCAACAGCAAACATAATACAGAAACTCAGTAAATGTGTATGAATTGGATAAATAAGCACACGTTAGAATGGGAAGTTACTTATGAGGAGCTGGACGGCATTCCTTTTCAGTGGGGTTTTGTTTAAATTACCAATTATTCAGCACTAATGACCTTGTGTACCAAGTTTTTCCCTTCCATCTTTCTCCCAGAAGCTGGGGCTGTGTCTAAATCCCCAAAGTAAGCACTACTCACAGTGTCTGTGATTCAAAACATGCGCAACTTGTCTTTCTGCTTCTAAAACTCAAGTAAATATCACTGTGCTTCACAAACCATGACCCCTTGCATCCTTCTTCCTGAGCCCACTCCCCAGCCATGAGCAGCACCAGTGCTGTCCTCCACTAGAGAGCAGACCGCAGCAGAACCCTCAGCCTGCGGCCCCTCACCGGCCCATGGGTATAAATCCACCACCTTCTGGACGAGGCAAGGTGAGGAGGAGGTGACACGGTTTCAGCAGGGAAGACAGACGTTCCAAGGACCTGCCAACAGTTGAAAACTGTGACTTCTATGACATCATGCTCTCGGAAGATAAAAGATTCCAGTGGCCATTGTTTCTCATACACAATGGTTTCTGGTGAACACGTGACACGGTTAGTGGGTGAGTGAAACGATTCAGGGCGATGGTCTATGCATAATGCACGCATTATGCACAGACGGAATTAAGGGATTATTAGGATACTGGATGTCAAAACACTGCCAAAATGTGAGCCCTTGCAAATAATCAAAGTGCGAGCAACAGCAATATTAGCAGTAGAAAGGATTACAGCACCCTGTATCACAGGCCGCAATGATAAGGCTTATGGGGGATCCCAGGCAGCCTAAACCATGAAAGGGCCCGGGAGTACGGCGTCCTAGAGAACCCTAGAGAAACACAGCCTCTCTCCAAGAACAAAGCTCTCAAAAAGGTCCAGCGTTCAGGGAATGTTAAAAGAAGGTGAAAGGTAGAAGTTTATATACCTTTTTAAATGAAAAACCTAGAATCATGCATATATACGATACTCTATTAGCACTAGATGAACATGAAGGGGTAGAAGACTTTTTTTTTTAAAAGATGAGAGAAATAAATTAACTGTCCATAGGCAAACTCGTAAATCCCAAGATCTAAGATTAATGGATCCAGGTACCAAGCCAGAAAAGCTCCACTCCTCAGATAGATGGCTCTGCCTGCTGGTCCAAAGCACACGGCTGTGCGCACTGGTGCTCAGGAGGCGCGGAGCTGGGCGCGATAATGACAGTCTCCCCACGAGTCCTCGTACAACTCCCGTCACGGCAACGGGTGGCTGGTGAAAAACTCAGTAGAGGGGAAACGTGGATGCTTGGGCAACTGAGTTCACAATCGAGGCCAGAGACCAGAGCGGGAGCCAAAGACGGGCTCTGGACATTGGCTTTAGAACTGTCAACAAGGCACCGGGGATGGAGGCATAATTCTGGGTGAGAATCCTACAAGGCACAAAAAGGTGACCCTGAGATCACTAAACGCGGTCAAACATAAGGATCCTGGGTAAACCGCGAACGCTACTGCCAAACAGGGCCTGCGTTTAAACGGACCCTCTGGATGGACACTAGCAGCCATGCACTGTGGGCACGGCCAGCCCGGCAGCTAACAGAAAGCAAGCTTGTCAGCTGGACCCTACCCGGAGGTTCCAGGGACAAAGACACCTGGGGATCTGCTCCCAGAAAGAGTGCAGCCTGAAAAACCAACAACAAAGCCCTGTGGGGTGAAGTAGTTCTGCCCTTGTCAGGTGGACTGGACGCCACCTGAGGACCACAACCAAGGGATCGGAGAGAGCGTCCGACTCAGCTTCCAGGGATGGTGGCAGAAGCGGGACCCAGCTCCCCCAACCGTGTGGTTTCGTTTTGCGCTCAGAGAGCGTGACCTTGAAGGCTGGTGGAATGGCAAAGGCGGGCGTTTAATTGGTTGCCACGACCACAAACCACACACGGATGGCATTGAGCAGCAATTTCAGTAAGGACCGTGCACAGCTGAAATTCTGGGGGCGGGGCAAGCCTTTCACCTTATGCAAATTTCTAAAATAAACATTCAATTGTGGACGCCCTGGCCTTAGTCTAAGCATTATTGGGCAGGCACGGCTTCTATCCCAGGAAAATCTATGCCTTGCGTGGCCTAGTTCAAGATGTGAGGCCAAACAGATCCGGAAAAGTACAGCTTTATCCTTGGACTTAATTTATACTATAGTGTACTGTAATTAAGCCTGAAATAAAAGCTATATTCTGAGTAAAGACAAAAAGCTCTTGTTAATAGCATTCCATTCCCAACGTAGAACGTAACAAAAAGCGTCTTCATTTGGAGCCAAGTGCCATTATACTGTGTGGCTTGTACAGAGCCACTGGACTAATATTTGCGCTGGGATTAGCGTTAGGATAACCAATCAGTTAACTCTTCCACTGCAGTGTTCTGTGCTCCTCATGGAAATGGCAAATGGGAAAAAAGGAAATTGGCCGGCAGAACAACAACTATATTTATGAGACTAAATTCTCACATCATTCAGAGTTTGCCAGGCAACTAATAGCCATTTACAAGCTGTTCGTTTAATAATGAATTGGTTAAGCCCAAAGCAAATGTTCTTTCAAGCACGGTTACTACAGTCATATCCAAATCAACAAGCCCCAATTACAGATGTTTGTTGTTGTTGCTGTTGTTAGGTTCCAACTCACAGGGACGCTCTGTACAACAAATCCAGTGCCCAGGCCGGCAACATGCGCAAAACCACTGGCACCTCTGGCCCATGGTCCAGTCACTGTGTCCATCCATTCGGTTGAGAGCCTCCCTAGTTTTCACTGATCCTCTACTTTACGAAACACGTCCTTTTGCCAAATATTGGTTCCTCTTGAGAGTATGTCCAAAAGATTTGCAGCGGTCCTGGTTTCTAAGGGCAATTAAGGTTATACTTCTTCCAAAACAGAACTGGTCATTCTGGCAGCCCGTGGCACATTCCGTCTTCTTTGCCAACATCATAACGCACCGGCATCGATTCCTCTTCCATCTTCCAGTTCCCTGCCCGGCTTCACCATGCATCCGAGGTGACTCGAAAGACACAGCTTGGGTTGGGTGGACCCCTCTCCTCAAAGGGACGATGCTACTGTGGTCCCATCCACACCGACAAGCCCTAACTTCTTGGACCTTGGCAGGATGCACACTTCACTGAGACTAAGACCTACAAGTTGCCACGTGTGAAAAACGAATGCTCCTTATTTTAGCCAAATGCATACTACCCTGTAGCAATCACAAATAACGAAAAGTTCCCTGTGACTGTGTGATTGGTGAAAGCCAAAATGACCAGGAAATAGTTTGGAGAGCAATTTCTATGTCTGTCATGATGGCCCCTGCCATCTAACCCTGTACTTAGTAATCACATGACCTTGCTACATCTAAATGAATCTGCCCCCTTGTCTTATAAAATGAGAGCGCCCGTTCTAAGATCATCTGCACCTGCGGATGATGAGGACGGAGCCGAACACGATTTATCAAAGCAAAGCGAATTACACGTGATACGGTACTAATGTCTTCACAGCATTATCAACCAGGCGAGGGGGAAGCAGTAAGGGCCGCTCTCCAGGAAGGGCACGAAGTGACACCAACAGGCCATTGAGCTCGATTCTCCTGCTGCTCCTGCCCATCGCCACACCCATTAGAAAAGCAGCCAGCAGGCAAGCCCTTCGCAGTACTTACTAATAGTTCGTCCATACTGGTCTGGCACTTTTCCAAGTTGATCCGCTTTATTGCTACACGTTCTTGCCTCGGTTTGCATAGCGCAGCCTGAACCACAGCGGTAGCTCCACTACCTGAAAAGAAATAACAGCAGCATTGGTTAGCAAATAGCACACTGTCTGCATGCTACCTGGTTAGCCTTTTCATAAAACAAATAACTATTTTTAAAGCCTTCGAGCTCTTCCGATTGCTACCATTTGACACCTTTTTTAAAAAGCTTCCTGAATCCAAAAATAAGGAGCTGGTGGAGAAGGGAACACAGCTAGATTTTTCTGGAGGATACAAAGACGGCATATGCCCTCAAAACGATGGCAGGCCAGGGAGGTGTCTCACATCACCAGAGCCCCATTCAGTACAGCGAGTTCACCCCGGCTCAGAACAACACCTGGGAAAGGGACGGGTCTGCACACAGAGGGACAAGGGGCACAGCACCTAAACACAACCCTGTCAGAATGCGATCACCATCCTCACACAAGCAAACAAACACCTCACTACTATCAAGTCAATCTGACTCACAGGGCCCCGTAGAGCAGAGTAAAACCGCTCCTTCGGCTTCTGAGGTTGCAAATCTTTACAGGAGCAGAAAGCCTCATCTTTCTCCAACAGAGAGGCTGGCGGGTTAGAACTGCTGACCTTGTGGTGAGCAGCCCAGCATGTAAGCCACTATGCCACCAGGGCTCCTCATCACTAACCTCAGGTCCTGATATTTTCTAACAGAGGCTTCTCTCCACTTCTGCACAACCAAGCCTCTCCAGCCTGAAGGACTTCAGGGGCTGCCACCTGCTGTGAGCATTCAGTGAGCTTAATTCCTTCGAAGCCGGCTCCATAAGAGGAGGAAGAAAGTAATACAGCATCAACCCTGGTCTTCTCATGCTGAAACCTCAGCTTTCCAGGATGCCAAGCAGAATGATGCAAGGGTGTAATTACAAAAGCTCTTGGCATGCAGACAAATCTCCTTTCTCTGAGGTTTCATGATCATTAGCTAATGCACTCACTCCTCGGAGATGCGGCCATGTTCTTCCCCATATGCTCTAAGAGCAAAATGGGGCTGCGAGATGATCCATGGCAGAGGGCAAAGAGCTCCTGATCGTATCCTGATCTTCCCTGGGGGTGAGAAGAAGGTTGAAGCATCTCTGGTCTGCTCGCTCTTCTGCCGCTGCGAGACGGACCACAAAGTAAAAGACCTACTCTCAGGACTGTGTGTAACGGGGCCAGGGGTGGCCAGGGAAAAGTTTCTCTTTGAGAGCCACTCCCTAGATAAGCCATCCAAAGGTGAGAAGGGGGGATGATCTTCAGGCAGTAAGGAAGAGTCTCCCCTCAAGGGCTCCCCACCTTAACGGGTCCCCATGCAGTGTCTCCAGGGCTGGGGCTCAACTTCTTCTGCCTGGTGTTCTCACCATCAGCCCCCCCTCTGACCTGGCAGACTCCCGGCAGATTCTCTCATGCTCCAAACACCAGTCTCTGACGTCCAGCCTGCATTCAACGGCGAACACAGCCCACCCTTACTGTCCACCTGAGGAGCCTTGCTGGTGTAGTAGATTACGACGTGGATTGCCACCCACAAGGTCAGCAGTTTGAACCCACCAGCCGCTCTATGGGGAAAATATGATGCCTTCTGTTCCCATAAAGATTTACAGTGTCAGAGAAACACAGGGCCAGTTCTACCCTGTCCTGTGAGGTCGCTGTGGGTCTGTGGACTTCAAGGAGAAAGGTAGACAGCCACCTCTGCCTGGCCCTTTTCGCACAATCCTGAGAGCAGGCCGTTTCTGTCCTTGGCTGTTTTGCAGTGGTAGATTTCTGAGACTAAAGTGATGTTTTCAGAATTGTCATAACAGAGGTGCCTTAACCAGGGGGACCTTCATCCTATGGAATATAAATTCTGATGATTGGAATTGACTCCGTGGCAGTGGGTTGGAGTACTATCCACCTACTACTAATGGTAGCACTTCACTCGTGCGGTTCTTATTAAAATTCCCTACGATAATTTTTTTTTTTATTTATATGCTTCTTATTGACAAGAAGCCTGCCCTTTTTTTGTTTTTTAACTATTCTCATTTTATCTGTGAGACAATCATGCCCAAAGCACACAGCTCGTCAGTCGCCGCGGCAGGATCGGAGTCGAGTTTGCTAGGCTCAGAGACCCATACTTTCTGCCACCCCCCAGGAGCCAGAACCCAACCCTCCCTTCCGCATTCATTCCAGCCTTGCCAGGAAAAAGCTCCCTGCTGTCCTGGCGCTGTCACCAAGTCTACTCCAAATACCAGCGACCCTACAGGACAGAGTAGAACTGCCACTGTGGGGTTACCAGACTCAGAGTAGAAAGCCGCGTCTTTCCCCCATGGAGTGGCTGGTGGGCTGGAACTGCTGACCTTGTGATCAGCAGCTGTGATAGGTTTATTGTGCAAACTAGGCCTCCATGGGAACATGTGGGCAGAGTTTTATCAGGTCACAGCTTGATGGGAGGACGAGGAGAGAAATGGCTTTCCAAGGCCCATCTGTGGTAATTACACAATTTCATATCAACTTGATAAAAGAATGAAAGGGTGGCGTTTAGCCTATCAGTCAGGTCACAGCCCAATGACACCTTCGTGTGGGTGTGGCCTTCTCATGAGGATTCTGGGGACTTCCTCTCTCTTGATTCTGCTATCAGAAGAGGCGGGCCACTCTCTCTCTCTCTGCTTCACTTTCCTATTGACAAGCCACATGGAGCCACGCTAATGACAGCAAGAGCCCTAGAGATGCTTCCATCACCACTGGATCTGCAAGACTTTCCACCCACCGGCCTGTGATCTTCCTGCATTCGGCATCACTGCATGTGCTGCATGAGTCTAAAGAGGAATTCATGGGCTAATATCGGACAAATGAGATAATATCAAACTTATGGACTTGAACCGGACTGGGCTCAGATGTTTTCTCAATATACAATCGCTCTTTTGATATAAAGTTCTGACACACATCCGAGGGCCTCTAGATTTGTTTTTCTAGACAACCAGGATTTACACAGTAGCCCAACACATAACCACTATACCACCAGGGCACCTTGTGCTATCACACATGATCTAACACAACACAACTTACAGCAGTGTTTCCCAAGGCGGGTAATACTGCCCCATGGGAAACACTGGAACAATCCGGGGGATTGTTGTGCAAACAGGTAGCTACACTTTATTATCCTGGATTCTAGGCTATAGTACAAAGGTGGGGAGGGGGTTGCAGTAGACGCTGAGTAAATTTTTTTTCTTCTGAAAATGGGACAGTAGGTCAAATAAGTGTGGGGACCTCTGACTTCGAGGGACAGTTTCAGTGAGCATCGCCTTCTCTACAGCTCAGTTCAGGGAGACGGTGCTACTGTCAGAGGCTATGTTAAAGGAGCTCAATCTCCAAACCCCATAGCTCCCTCCATCAGTGGTTACTCCAAGCCCCACCAGGTTGGCCTGACTGACCTTGCAGGCCATAGCATGTTGGTTCCCACCCAGAATGTTCCAGATACCAAAGCCAATTACCACAAAGAGCCCTGCTGACCACTCAGGGTACTTCCCAGCAGAGGGCTCCAGAACAAGAGACCATCCCTGAAGAGAGCTGCAGAGCACGTGACAAGGAGCTGATCAGCGCCGGGCTGGGTGCCCAACAGAGAACGCGACCAACACACCAACTAGCTGCTGAGAAGAAGCCATTCTCAGCGCCACTTGCTGCAAATCTTTTCTCAAAGGAGCACCGCACCCCCTCTCCTTCATCCTCTCCTAAAAGGACAAACTCACTGCCAAGAGAGTCCATTCTGATTTGTTCCAACTCTAACAGCACTGCACCGGTGGGTTTCCAAGGCTGAACTCTTCATGAGAGTAGAAATCCTTATCTTTCTCCCATAGAGCAGCAAGTGGTTTCGAACTGATAACCTTGAGGTTAGCAGTCCAACTGTTAACCCATTATGTCACCGCAGCTCCATACAGAATAAATATGAAGTTTCTTAATCTGAGATTACTGTCAGGGCTTGAATAAATTTAGCAATTCAATTGGGAGAGTCTACATTGAACCCAAGATTTCCTTCAACTACGAGAGATCAAGAACAATGCCTAGAGCAGTGGTTCTCAACCTGGGAGTCGAGCGTCCCTTTCACAGGGATCACCCAGTTCTTAACAGTAGCAAAATTACAGTGATGAAGCAGCAACAAAAATAATTTTAAGGTTGAGGGGTCACCACAACATGAGGCACTAATTGTATTAAAGGGTCATGGCATTTGGAAGGTTGAGAACCACTGGCCTAGAGGTATACGGCATATTCAAGACCACGAGTCCAAATCCTCAACTTCGGAATGAAGAGACAGTGGTGTAAACAATAAACTGGTTGCTGTTTTCAAAGTCCTACAACAAAGGCATTGGAAAGCTTGGGGTCAGAATGCCGGGCACCCTTATCCTAGTCTGCTACTCTTTTCGCCATGTTGGGGGGTTTTCCAATTGCCAGTCACAATTTACTATTGGTTGTGGAATTAATTGCATGAGTAGAGGAAGCCAGTGTTGTGTTGTTTTGTTTTGTTTTGTTTTTGTGAGAATGGAAGTAAAGAGAAGAGAATGCAACGGGATGGGTGAAACAGAATGGAAACCAAATGAGAGGAGAAGGCCAAAATGCATTTTCTCTATTAAGGGTGAGAATAGCTTTATGGAACTTTTGTTTCATAGACTCGAGCTGAAGGGAAATGCTTGTTTTACTTGAGGCATCATCAAAAGTTCAAATCTGTGATACTAGGTCATGCTTCGAAAGAAAAGGCAGAAGCAGCCTAACTGCTGGATTCTAAAAGGCATTTAAAACTAATATGAAGGCAGTCTTGTATTAAGATTTTTTTTTGTGCCCCGTGCTGATTAAGAGGAAGCTAACAACACAGGGCTTGTCACTCCCTGCCATAGAGCAGACTCTGACTCACAGCAACCCTGTATGATAGAGTCAATCTGCCTGATGGGTTTCAGAGGCTACCAACTCTTTCTGGGAATAGACAGCCTTGTCCTTCTCCCGAAGACTAGCTGATGGTTTCGAACTGCTGACTTTGCAATTAGCAGCCCAAAGCATGACCACTGTGCCACCAGGGTACCTCCAAATCCAGGATTAGCAAAGGGAAAGAATAGCAGCAATAGAAATAATAGTACGAGATAGAGCCTGGGGTCTCGTTGGAACCATGTATAACAGCCACATATGAATAATTAACATTTGGCAGTATATTTGCAAGGACATATCATGCTCTGCTTTAGGAGTAAGAAGCTCTTAACATTTCAGACATTTCTCATTTTACTCCTGATATGTATTTCAAGTGAAATAAATCACTCTGTAGGATTACAGCCTGCATGCACAAGCTAAGAGGAGCTGGCTCTGAATCATCCTTTTAGTTCAACCCACTGTTGGTAAATAATTCCAGACCCAGGCCAGCTACTCTGAAGTGCTAGGTGCTCGTCATGTCAGTGGCAACCAGAGACCAGAGACTGTTGTGGTTCATTTCAGAATGCGGACTTCTCCCCAGCTAACCCATCACTTCCCATCTTCCTCTCTGTACCGCTGTTGGCATGATTTACTTATTTTCTTAATTTTAATAAATCATTTTATTGGGGGCTCTTACAGCTCTGATAACAATCCATTGTGTCAAGCACATTTGTACACGTTGCCATCATCCTTTTCAAAACATTTTCTTTCTACTTGAGCCCTTAGTATCAGCTCCTGATTTTTGTCCTCCCTCCCCTACCCTCCCACCTTCATGAGCCCTTGATAAATTGTTATTTAC